TCCCGAAGCTGCAGATTCAGTGCCATCCTTTGAAATAAATTATTCTTGGGGGAGGGGCAGGGTCCTCTCAAATCTTGCTTGCTTTCACCTACTCACGCTTTCTCATAATTCTTGGGGTTCCTTCTTTCCTTGGCTGTACCACCCCTACTTCTCAAAGTCCTGACGCAGGATAAATCCAGCTCTCTGCCAACCAGGGCCGCTGACCTCAGCAGGGGACAAACTCTCCCAGGTGGACTGGCTCACACACTCAGGGTCATGGACCTCAAGATGCTCTGGCCATCACTGAACATCTCCTGCCCCGTTTACCTTGTGTCTAGATACCGATTTCATCCTCGGTCCCATCGACTCTCAATCTGAGTCAATCAGTCTCCATCCCTTGGTCTCAATCGGAGACACCTCTCTCCAGCCTCCATTCTCTGTTGCCTACCTTACCTGCTCATGGTCTACTGATGACCTTACCTGCACATTGACTACTCATGAGCTTACCTGGTCATTGACTGCTGGTGACCTCACCTGCTCGAGGTCTACTGATGATCTTACCTCCTCATTGACTACTGATGACCTTACCTGGTCATTGACTGCTGATGAATTTACCTGCTCATGGTCTACTGATGACCTTACCTGCACATTGACTACTCATGAGCTTACCTGGTCATTGACTGCTGGTGACCTCACCTGCTCGAGATCTACTGATGATCTTACCTCCTCATTGACTACTGATGACCTTACCTGGTCATTGACTGCTGATGAATTTACCTGCTCATGGTCTACTGATGGTCTTACCTCCTCATGGACTGCTGGAGGCTTTATCATTGTCTGCCGATGACCTTGTTGCCTCACTAGCTACTGCTGACCTTAGTTCCTCATCCTCTGCAGACGTCCTGTGAGAAAATGGAACAATCAGAGTGGTCTTCCCCCAGCTCCCCGGATCACACTTGGGTCCATCTCCTGTGCCTTCTCTTGGTCACGAGGGACAGACTTCCCAGGTTGTTATGGGTGTTGGGTGTCATGGGGTTGATTCCAACCCATGCTGGATGCCGTGTGATGGCAGACTGCCCCACCGTTCAGATCACCAGCAGGTCTCCCTTTAGATGGCATCACCCCTTGCAAACTCATAGACCCAAGGGCTCTCTCTCCTGCCCCATGGCTCGTTGCCTCCCTGCTGGATGACTGTCCTGAGTGTTCAGGCATGTTACAGACACACCAACCTTTTTTTTTTTTTTTTTCAGTTTTTAAAAATTTAATTATTTTATTCGGGGGCTCTTACAAGTCTTAGAACAATTGTATTAAGCACGCTTGTACATTTATTGCCATCAACCTTTCCAAGACATTTTCTTTCTTCTTGAGCCCTTGGTATCAGCTCATTTCCCCCCACCCCCACCTCCCATCCTCATGACTCCTTGATCAATTATATATTATTGTTATTTCGTGTCTTACATTGTCCATTGTCTCCCTTCCCCCACATTTCTGTTATTTGTCCCTCTATCCAACCTTGTGATGGGTTCCCCCTAGTTCCCCCCACCCCCTTGCCCTTGCCCTCATGATGTCGCTACTCCCACGCCTATCCCTGAGGGTCTCATCTGTCCTGAGTTTCAGGGACATGCCCATCTTGAAGGCACGTCAAGTCTGGGCCCTTCTCTTCTCCAGCTCCTCTGCCTTCCTCCGCTCTTTTGAGAGCAGACTTCCCTCCAACACCTGAATTACCGTCGATAAGTCTTCTCCAACCTGGAGGTCTACCATCCACCAGCGCAGGCTTCCACGCCCACCACCCTGCCTGCACTGCCCAATGGGATCCTTAGTGGTTCTCATCCGGGGCTCAATCCAAAGAAGACCTCTCCCTCTCTGTGATAGGTAGGTTTATTGTGCCAACCTGGCACAATTGAAGGGCAGAGAGATAAATGGCTCGGCGAGCCTCACCTTTCTTGTCTCTTGCTCTTTGATGATTGGGCCAGTGTGCCCCAATTTGCAAGCTACACTACCTGTGGGACACCCAGCCGATGGACTGTGTCACCGTAGTTTGAGGTTCCTTCAAGACATGCTTCACCACACTACTGGAGTATATATCACTTGATCTGGGGACCGTCAGATCCTATCATCTGGCTGACTGTTGGTGACCTGCCTTGCTGTTTGCTGCCTGTGGCCAGATTGCCTGAATTGCTCTACAGAGATCTCAGCTGTCTGCTTCTTTGACTTGCACCTGGTGGCCCTCAAGACTTGAAGGACCGCCAGTGTATTAACTGTCTCACAGAAGCGAGTTGCACTGAGCCATCTGTACTGCTCTATAGACTAGTTAGCTGTTTATTTCTCATGTTGCATATATCTATCTATGTAAATATATATAAAATCATACGTGTCCTGGTTTTGTTTCTCTAGAGAACCCTGTCTAACCCACTGCCCATCATAGATGATTACCGTTTTGGCATCTGTCATCTACCACTGCACCCCTAACCTTGGCCTCCAGGGCACACAGCCTCCTGGCTTCCCGCCACCCACCTCAGCTGCCCTTTCTTAGGCACCTTTGCTGGCTTCCTCTCCTGGAATGCTGGGGCTGAAGAGTATCCAGGCTCAGTCCTGGCCCCATCCGTCTCTCTTCCTCTGCCACCATTCTTGGTGTGCTTACCTGATCTCCTGCGTTCATGTCCATCTCGGCAGGTGGACAGTGCCCCACACTTACATCCCTATCCCAAGGCTCTCTGGGAATGCAGACTCAGACACGCAGTAGCCAGATCACACTCCCTGGCTGAACGTCTGCTCAGTGGTCAGCACGTGGTTGGACTGGCATCTCCTTGTGGGTGTTCGGTGTGGTCAGGTCCCCTTTGACTCTCAGAGCAGAACTGCCCTCTGGGGCTTCCTGGGAGCAGACTGCCTGGTCTCTCCTCCTGTGTGTGGCATGGCTGATGGGTTTGAACCCCCACCTTTCATTGAGTAGCCATATGCTTAACCATCAAACCCACCACGGCTCCTTGAGCTGACCGTGAACCCTAGAAACCACCAGCCTGTAAGCCTTTGCCTCCGACTCTGCTTTAGCCTCCCCTTCCTGTGTGTGCAGAGCCTCAAGGTCAGCAGAGAGCACACCCCCTTATGGGGCCTGGCCTCAGCGTGGGCACTGCCCTGTGTGTGCACACTCACTGCCATCGAGTCGATGCCGACTCACTGCGACCCTATAGGACAGGGTAGAATTGCTCCTGCGGGTTTCGGGGACTGTCACTCCTTACAGGAGAGAAAACCCCATCTTCTCCCATGGAGCGGCTGGTAGTTTTGAACTTCTGACCTTGCAGTTAGTGGTCCAATGAGTAATGACTACACCACCAGGGCGCCTTTTACAGGAGTAGAAAGCCTCATCTTTCTCCGAAGAGCGGGCTGGTGGTTTCAAACCACTGGCTTTGTGGTGAGCAGCCTGAGCCCTGTGGTGGCACCCTGGATTCCCAGGACTGAGTGGGAGCTTGTCGAAGCCCCAGGGGCACCCCACTCACCAGCTTTTCTTGCCAGCTCGTCCAACGGTCACCTACTGTCTCTGGCAGCCACGATGCGAAGCAATGGCCTTTGCTCTTGGTTGGCTTGTTTCCCCTTTGGACGCTCGACTTCTCAGCCCAGGAGGCTGCCCCCAGCGGCTGAGATCTGTGTCCATTCACGAAGAGACAGCGTGTGGGTGGGGCCTCCCAGGGACGGCCTCTGAGGGCAGGGCTTGGACGAAGCCATCAGCCACACCCCTCCCTCAGAGCTCTGGGAGGTGGGGTGGGGATCCACCATCTTCCCGAAGGAGCCCTGGTGGCACACAGGGTTAAGCACCCGCCCCCCTGGGATCCCCATGGACAAGTTCTCTTCTGTTCTGGGGTCGGAATCGCCTAGACAGCTGGCTCCGGGTGGGCTTCAGCACCGCTGCCAGGCACCCTTGGAGGTCACGTAACCCGCGTACTTTCTTTTGACATCACAGGGGCTTAATGGAAACAATGGAGATGGCACCTGATGGGCAAATGCTGTACTTTCCTGATCAGAGCTGCACCCATCTACGGCCCCACTCGTCGCCCTGCAGGGTTTTCTCGAGGACCTGCTTCCACAAGATGCTCAGACCTTCTTCCACAGGTGAGCAGGCCGGAGCCAACTGGGGCGGTGCCCCCACCACAGGATTAGGGAAACTGAGGCACAGGTGGAGCCGGCAGCCTGCCCAGAGGCAGCAGATCATCTCCAGGGGCGAGGCAGGATGTGGAGCCCAGCAGTGAGGCCTGGACGCCGGGGCTTGGCTGCTGTCCCAGTGCCATCTGGCAGCACTCCAGTTCCAAAGCAGGACAATCTGATCGTCGAATCCCCTGAAGTCCACGTTGTTTCTTGTGTTTATTTGTTAATTCGTTCCCTCCTTCACTCACTCACAAACATGTCCTGAATCTTCATTTCTTCCAAGACTGCTAGCAGCAGCATGGTTAGAGCAGCTCAGCCGTAAACGGGTAGGTCGGCTGTTCCAATCCACCTCGTGGCCCCTCTCGAGAAAGGCTTGGCGGTCTGCCTCTGTAGACAGCAGCCTGAGGCTCACGCATGACAGGGAAGTTCTGCCCCGCCCCACGGGGCAGCTATGGGCTAGAATCGACCCAAGGGCATCCACGATGACCTGACTGTGGGCATAGGGGTCTTATTTTTGTTGTGAGGCGCTTATGTTATTGGCAATTCTGCAACAGACATTTCCCACCGTGGTACGTGTGGGGCACCTTTCTTCTCTGAGTGACCTCCTGGTCCTTGGCAGGGTCGAGGTGCAAAGATTTATCAAGGGTCTTCCTCCAGGCCGGCAGGCAGTACTTTTCTCTGTGATTTCTGCTTTCACACCCAAATATGCAGCCAGTTCACTCAAGCAGCATGTGTGGGGGCCAGCTGTGTGTGCCAGGCTGGAGACAGAGCAGTGCACACTTGCACCCACGCCCACGCCCACGCCCATGCCCACACCCAGAAGCGAGGGAAGAGCAGAGGATGCAGAGGAGGAGGAAGAGGGGGAGAAGAAGGCGGAGGGGGTGATGAGCAGGAAGCAGCTGGATGCTGGTGTTGCCTGTAGGTGTCCTAGAAGCAGGTGTTGTTGTTGGGAGGGGGGGGACCGATGGACAACACGACCAAACACCCCCGGTCCTGCCCCCTCCTCACAGACAGCGAAGCCACGGTACGATCCATCTCATCAAGGCCCGGCCCTCCCTCTCTCTGCCTGACGCTTTACCCAGCAGGATGCCCATCTCCAGGGACTGGTCTCTCCTGACAACTCGGCCTGCCATCCTGGCCTCTCAGGAGCGCTCTGGCTGGACTTCTTCCCAGACGGATCGGTGTGGCCTTTTAGCCATCCATGGTACCTTCCATATGGTTCCCAGCACCTCGATTACTGGGCGGTGATGGGCAAACCTGCAGTTGTTGGCCACCCCACCCCTGTGCCTCACACCCCACTCGGGGACTGTGCCCCCTCCTCTCCTGAGGACATTGCTCTGGATGCTCCCTGTCTCCGGAAACACCTGTTTCCTAACGAGGAGATGGGGACATATCTGGACAAGGAGGGGAGTGGTTTCCCTTCTAGTGCGAGCTTCCTTTCGTCTCAGGACCTACCCGGCCGTCTTGCTTCTTCCCTGGGAGACACTTGTGAAGGTCCTGTCACTTGGGTAAAGGGTTCACTCTTCCACTCAGCCTGTCCACATGGCAGCGCGGACCTCCCCCAAGGCCCAGGCCGGCTCCTCTGGGCTGGCTCACCAGTGTCTTCCTCGTGGGCCCTTTCTACACGCTGTGCTCACGGCCCCTGTGCTCCAAACAGAATTGGGTTTCCTCTGAATTCTGGGTTCATTCCAGAAGCTGGGAAACGTGGGGAAGAGGTCCATTCAGAAGGGAATGCACAGGAACCTCAAGTTCCGTGTTGACCTGCTATTGTCGGGTTTGTAGAAGCTGCAAACGCATGTCTTGAAAGCTCTTCTGTGAAACACATCGGGGCATCTTGTTTCCTGATACTCCACTGGGAGATGGACATCGCACGCTTTAGCACTGCAAAAAGGCCCATTCTCTATCGCTGGTCATTTCACCTTCAAGCCTGGGGCTGCTTTTTAATTTCAGGTGTTTGGTTGGTCACTGCCAGCCTGGCCCCAGGGCTCGCTCTCACCCTGCAGAGCCTTCTCCCCCAATGTCCATCGCCCTTGTCTGTCTGATGCTAAATCCTGTAGATGTCCGTGGCTTTTGGCAACCTCAGCTCTTGGGTGGTTCTCAACACGATCATTTTTCGCCGATCCGACGCGCTCTCCTTGCTTGGGTGAGAGTGACAGTCTGTTGTGACTATCCGTATCCAAAACGGATGTAGTAGAACATCGTTGTCAAATTGCCCTCGGAGAAGAGTGGCCCAATTTCTACGCCCACCAGCAGGCAATTTAGGTTTCATATTGCTGATACGAAGATGAATCAAACAGTACTGCCTACAGATCTTCCATCATCCCATACCTTCCGTCTTTCTACATCTCTACATGAAGAATTCTGCCCTCTTCAATCCAGCACCACATCCAAATGACAGTCTTGACCTCCCGAAGGGACTCAAGTCATGTTCCTTTGAAATGTTGTTTGACTATTGGAGGCCAAAAGAAGTTGGAAGGGTCAAGAAGAGCAGGTTTCCCCAGGAACTTCTTGCAGGGCAGCCCTCTCTGCCCTGGAAGAATGAGCAGGCCGTGGTGGGGGAAATTTCCAGGTGTCACTTTCCGGGCCTTTTCCTACACAATGCACTTTTCCATCTTCTTCAAACTGCATCCTCCTAAGCCCCATGATTCTCCAGGGTCCTTTGAGAAAATCTGCCAGGATAACCCTTGTCTGAGATGCTTGCCTGGTCACCACCCCTTTCTGCGCTGGCCTCTTTGCCCACCACACACTCACGGAAGTCAATCTGTTGTTTGTGGCTTCTCTCACGAAGGCCCCCACTGCGATCAGGGCAGTGAATGGCCGACAGAACTTGCGCTCAGCCATCCATGGGTCACAGAGACCCCTTGCGACATGTGCTGTTTGGGATAAACTTCACATGGGTGAAATGGCCCCCCAGAAGCAACTGTTTGACTAACAGTCACTAAATCTAAGATACTGCATTAGGCATATGAGATTGGGGGGCGGGGGGAAGGTTTCCTTCAGGGAATTTCCAATAGTTTCAAATCAATATTTCTCTGATACTTTCAAATTGGAACCATCAATTGCAAAGATGGGGCTTCTGGGAAAGCCATGGGGTGGGGATGCGACAAGAGAAAAATGGGAAAGCCTTTCAAAACGGCGTGTAAATGAACAGATCAGGATTGGATTCCGTGGCTGCCCTGGGGCAGGAGGAGGGACCAGAGGGGGAAGTGGTGTCCTCTGGGGGTGTTGACCTGCTCTTTCTGAGATCCGCGTGGCTGCATGGTGGAGGACACTGGGAGTCAGTGGATCTCTTTGAGCACATGATGTTTGAGACGACCATCAGACACCATCCGAGGTCTCGGAGAACACTGCACATGGTCTGGAGCTTCAGGAGGAAGTCAGGAGCTATAGGCCTGGTAGAAACAACAACACATCCGGAAACCCAAAACCCAAACACACTACCATCAAATCAAATTTCAACCCTGTCGGCCCACGTAGAATCGTTCCACAGGATTTCCAGTCTCTGTGGGCGCAGACAGCCCCATCTTTGTCCTGTACAGTGGCTGGTGAGTTTGAATTGCTGACCTTGTTAGCCGCCCAACACCTAACCCGTTGCTCCCCGGGGCCTCCCTCAGTCCGAGCACAGAGATGGTCATTAGTGACGCTGGACAGTCAGCAATGGAGAGGGAAGCGCGGGGACTGCATTGGTGAGCATGGAGGTCTTGTTGGAGGTCCCAGCCTCTCCTCTCCCTCAGGGATCAATGCTAGGTCCTCTTCTCCACCTCTGTCCTCTCCGCAGGGGAGTCCCCGGTCCACTGCCGTGTCTCTAAGTGACATCTCGGCCCTAGACCTACACCTATGACCTCCTCAGGAAACCCCAGATCATGTCTCCACGGGCCTCCTGACCTCCGCGCTTGGGGGTCTGGTGGGCGTCTCAGATGAGGCTCCCCACGGTTCTGTCTCAGTAAAGGGCCCGCCATGCCCACCACGTAGGAATCCTCCTCAGGCTGCGCTTTCTTTCTCTACCCTCCCTTCCCCCCAAGACGCTAATGCAGCAGCAAGACCCCGCCAGCTTGGCTTCAAATGGACTCTCCATTCTGACTCCTTTTATTTAAGCCTATATCCAAGGCCGCCCCCACCCCCCACCCCTGGTTCAAGGCAGCATATCACCCACCTGCTGTTGGACCTTGGGCTCACTCCCTTCCAGGACTTCTTTCCTTAGTCTTCGCTCCCCTGGGAGCCCTTGTCCACACAGCAGCCCAACAACCTCGCCAGCAACACGTTGTGAGAACCTCACGTCGCTGCCCACCCTCCCTGAGTCTGGGCACTGTGCGGGGACTCAGATCTCAGTCCCGTAGGCAGGTGCCTGGGGCTCTAGGGTAGCTGGCCTCCCCCTCTCTGAGCTAAGACCTCAGCTTTCCACCTCACTCAACATGTATGCCCTCCGCCCACACTGGCCTCTGACTCTCCTGAGCTCACCAAGCCCATTCCTGTTGTGGCTAGGCACCATCGAGTTGGTTCCAGCTCACAGTGACCGCCAGTGTGCACCAGAACGAAGCACCGCCTGGTCCTGCACCAGGGCCCCACTTGTTCTTAGGTTTGAGCCCGTTGTTGCAGCCCCTGTGTCCATCCATCTGGCTGAGGGCCTTCCTCTTGGAAACCTGGAGAGCAGCGAGAGATCACCATATCCGTGCCCAGGGGCTGTTTTCCTGAGCGGGACGTTCTCCTCTCAGCTTCTTGGTTGGCTGGCCCATGCACATCATTCAGGTTGCAGCTCTTAGAAAGGCCCCAAGGCTGCTCGGAGACCCGCTCCGATCAAGGAGCTCTCCAGCCATGCCTTGTCAACGCACTGGATGGCCTGCATCGCACCGGCCGTGAGCTGGTCACATGGTCACTCGTTTCTTCCCTGTCTTCTCACCTCTAGTAAGTGTTAGTTCTGCAGCTCCTGGGGCTGTCTCATTCTCTTCTGCACCCCCAGTACCCAGAAATGTCGTGTGATGTGTGTGAGGATCTGTGAAGGGCGCCATGGCCCTGCTTTCTCCGTTAGTGCTGCACCGGCCTCCTTTCTTCTTTCTTCTCTCCCCCGCCCCCCTCACCCCCCTGTGGCCACCCCTCTTCCCATCTCCAGGCCTGCCCCTTCAGCTTTCAAATGGACCTCCCCACTCCAATCTCCCCGATGCAACTCCCCCCTCCCCCATGCGAGCTCCCCTCTCCCTTGAGGAGTCCACGGGTGCAAAGGGCTTCTGATGTGGCGGTTTGGAGCAGCCTCCCTGACTCGTTGCACCTGCCCTTCTGTCCCGGGGCAGGTCTCAGGCCAGCCTGTCTCTGTTCATGCAAGCCAGCTGTGCAGGCGCACAGGTGCTGTCTGGCCGGGGAGTAAGAAGGATGGAATCAGCGAGGGTAGCTGGTTCACCTACGTGGCCAGGACTGCCCCCCTCCCAAGGGGCACTCTTGGCCAGAGTGTGTCCCCATGGCCTCCAAGAGCAAGCATTTAGGAGGCCCCCATGGAAGCCGAGGTCCCTTTCATGCCCTTGTCTTAGGAGCCGGTGGTTTCCATTCTACCATTGTCACTGTCCTGCCCAGATGCCAAGAGAAGGGACACATGCCCTCTCTCCCGGGGGAGCGCTAAGGTGACAGCAGGATGGAGTGTTTGGAGTCGGGGGGGGCGTGGCTGTGGGCACCTCCGAGAACCCAGCCTGCCCCGCCTCCCCAGGCTCCCTTTTGCATGGACCCAGCTGCCCATATCATACCTCTGACACCAACCACTCCCTCCTTCCCTGCACCAGGGAGCTGGCGAGGCTGTGGGCTCTGTCTTCCACCCAGCACCGCTGCTGCTGTTCAGTGCGATTGAAACGGCTCTGCCACAGAAGGGCCCCGCAGCAGAAGGGCCCTGCCCACCCGGCCTTGCATTGCCCTCATGATCCTTGGCAGCCACGGTGTCCATCTGTCTCATCGGGCATCTTCCTCCCTCTCGCTGCCCCTCCACACCACTAAGCACGATGTTCTCCTCCAAGAACTGGTCCCTCCTGACAATATGCCTGAAGTGCGTGAGATCAAGTCTCCCCTTCCTTGGGGAGCATCCCGCTGTCCTTCTCCCAAGACAGAGCTGCTTGTCTTGTGGCAGCTCGGGGTGCACGCAGCCTCGGTGCTACCACTCGAGTGTGTCTGTTCTCCCTGGGCCTGTGCTTTCCCACCCACAAGAGGCCATCAGTCAGACCAAAGGTCCAGGCTTGAAATCCTTTGCCCCCGAGGCTTTTCTGGCGCATGGCGACCCCAGAGGGATCTCCCCCGCTATCATCTTTAGGGGGACAGGTCTCCAGGCATTGCTCCCACAGCATCACAGGGTGGATGTGAACCGCTAAACCTTGTGGTCATGGTGCAGGGGCCATTGACTGGGCCAGCCTCGTTTTCAACTGCCCGAGTGCACGCTCATTGCTTACCACACCCCCTTGCCAGCAGCCTCCTCCCAGTTGTTTGTTGAAAGCAATGTCAACATTCTTCTATGACCTTGTGGCATCTAGAACATAGACTCCCAAACCTATCTGGCTGATCAGCCTCTGCTTTCAGAAAAAAAGAAAAAATTTACTCCATGTTCCCCCCTCCCCCCTCCCATTTTAGCACTCTAGCCCATCAACTAGGGTAACTGTAGGCATCTGCCTTGGATCGGTCCCAGGCTGCCCCTAGGGGTCAGAACCATCCATTTGAGGAGACACTGGCTAAACCATTATTTCTCCCTTGTCTTGAAAGGGAAACCATATAAATTTAAGAATGGCATCTTTTTCCATAAGAGGATAAAATGTAAATATGGTGTTTGAAGATTAATTTGAAAATGACATTAATTTGTACCTAAATTTTCTCCCAAGATCCACGTTTTCTCACTCCTTGTGACAAAAGCCCTTCTGAGGGGAGCTAATCTTTGCCTTTTTCTCCCCTCCTCCTACTCTGACTGACTAAAGGGCAGAAGGTTGAAAACGTGGGATGTTCATCACAAGTCATTAATGATTTGAAATGGACACATAGATATACTACGAGAAATGACTGATGTGGAATCTTAATTGAGTCTATTAAAACAGTAGAAGGGTCTTTAGTCTCTTGGTTTTCAACACCTTTCATAAACATCCGTATCTCTTATAGCCACAGCTGTTGCAAACCCACTGCTGTCTTCTCTGGACATTAAACGGATTTTATTTAAAAAAATTAACCAGAAAAGGAATGACTTAAAAAAAGCCTTTCAGCTGCTGGACCTTGGTCAGAACTGGACCGTGTCAAAGAGTGAACTGAAGAGGGTGCTCACCATCTTCCTCCTGCCGCTCTCCAAGGAGCAGTTTCAAGAACTGTTGGCTCAGGTACAGTAGACGGTCACAACGTGGGGTCACTGTGAGAGAGACTGTGAGGGAGACCAGACACACAGAGTCTGTGTCACGGAGAGAAGGCGAGGAGGGTGAGAGGGGCACATCATCCTGTGCTGGTCACGCAGGACTTGGGATGACTCCACGAGAGACGATGAGGCAGAGGAGAAGGGAGCGTAATCCGTGTCATGCTAACGACTCGGGACAGCTCAACTAGAGATAGCATGAGGGAGAGGAGCAGGGCCCGTCATTAGTGTTGTGCTAACGACTCAGGGCAGCTCAACAAGACAGCAGATGGGGTAGACCGGAGGAGCATTTAGTCAGTGTTGTGGAAATGAGTCAGGATTGCCCCAGGTAGAAGAGCGGTTCTCAACCTGGGGGTCGCGACCCCTTTGGTGGTCCAACGACCCTTTCACAGGGGTCACCCGATTCATCACAGTAGCAAAATGACAGTGATGAAGTAGCAACGAAAGTCATTTTATGATTGGGGGATCACCACCACACGAGGAAACTATATGAAAGGGTTGCAGCATGAGGAAGGTTGAGAACCACTGAGGTAGACAGAGGGATCCCTAATCCATGTTGTGCGAACGAGTCAGGAGACTCCGTGAGAGGCGAGGTAGAAGCGAAGGTGAGGAGTCACTGCTGTGGTAGTGGCTCAACATAATGCCAGGCAGAGAGGGTTAGGGAGAAGACCGGGGCACGTATTCTGTGGTGACTACCCAGGGTAACACCGTGACTCAGAAGAAGCACTTAGAACAGCGGGCACTTGCTCCGGGTTGTGTACTGACTCAGGGGAGCCCAGTGAGAGAGGAGATGAGGAAGAGGAGAGGGGCCTGGAAGCCGCGCTGTGGTAATGACTCCGGTAGCTCAAGTCGAGCGTACAGGAGGTAGAAGGGAAGGACAGGTAATGAGTGTTGTGGTAATGACTCAGGATACCACCACGAGAAAGAAAGTGAGGTCGCCGAGAGGGCCGCTTCATGAGTAGTGTGGGGTGGCCTCAGGCTAAGTCCCACGAGAGAAGGTAAGGCGGATGGGAGAGCGATGCACTCAGTGTTGCAGTTGTGACTGAGGATAGCGTAATGACACAAAGAGAGGTACATGACAGGGGCACACCATCAGCATTGTAGTGGGGACTCGGCATGCCTCCATGGGAGAAAAGATGAGGTCGACTGGAGGGGTGTGCCATCAGCCTGGGGGCGGTGACTCCAGAGAAGTCCAGGAGAGGAAGGTGAGGTCGAAGAGAATAACTTAACAAGACAGAAGATGAGGGAGATGAGAGGGACAGGTCATCAGCATTGTAGTAACGACCGGAAGTAATGCCGTGAGAGAGAACGCGAGGTAGGCAACAGGGGCATGCAATCGGTGTTGTGGTGGTGACGCAGGACAAGTCCCTGAGAGCGAAGGTGAGCTAGAAGAAGAAGGCAGGTCGTCAGAACTGCGCTAAGAACTCAGGATCACTCAAGGAGAAAGATGGGGTAGATGAGAGAGGCACCTCGTCAGTGTTGCAGCCACAACTCCGTATAATCCAACGAGAGAAGGAGAGGTACAGGGGCATTGGCGCAGTGTTGTACTAGTGACTCGTGATAACTCGGGGAGAGAAAAATGAGGTAGACGAGAGGGGCGTTTAGTCAATGTTGTGTAAGGACTCGAGATCCCTCACTGAAAGAGAACAGGCGTAGATGAGAGGGAAACTTGATCAGTGTTCTCGTAACGACTCAGGATACCTCTGTGAGAGAAGATGAGGTAGAAGAGGGGCACATGAGCAGTGTGGTACTAATGACTCAGGATCATGAAATGAGAGAAAAACGAGGTAGAGGGAAAGGAATGTAATCAGTGTGGTGGTAATGACTAGGGTAACTCAATGAGCGAGGGGATGAGGTCAAGAGGGGGCAATTAATACGTGTTGCGGTAAGGACTCATAATCTCTTAACACGAGAAGATGAGGTAAAGAAAAGGGCTCGTGATCAGTGTCGTAGTAATAATTCAGAGGATGAGGTAGAAGAGTGGGGTCCTTAAACAGTGTCGGACTGATGTGCGAAAAGTGGAGGTCAAGGAGTAGGGCATGTAGTCCGTCTTGCGGTAATGGCTCAGGATAACTCAGTGATGGAGAAGATGAGTCGAAGAGTAGGGCTTGTAGTCCGTCTTGCGCTAATGACTCAGGACAACTCAATGAGGGAGAAGGTGAGGTAGAAGAGAGAGGCACAGAATCAGTGTGGCAGTGATTTCTCAGCCTAGCTCTAGGAGACAGAAGATAAGGTAGCAGAGAAGGACGTGTCGTCAGTGTTGTGATCAAGACTCGGGATCACTCAATCGGAGAGAGATGAAGCAGCAGAGAGCGGCACTTCATCAGTGCTTTGGGGACGACTCAGGATCACTCAAGGCGAGAAGAGGAGGTAGAGAAAGGGGCACGTAATCACTGCTGTAGGAACGACTCAGGGCGACTGTAGGAGCTGGACAATGCGGTAGAACCGTGTGGCCTGTGACCAGTGTTGTACCCATGACTCGAGTATAACTCCATGAGACAGAAGACGAGGTTGTGGAGCAGAGCATCCAATCATCGTTGCGGTAATGACTCAGGACCACCGAACGATGGCAAAGAGAAGGGCATGTGAGCAGTGTTGTAATGAATCAGGATAACTCAGTGAGGGAGAAGAGGAGG